GTCTTACATTCCAGGCTTTTGTGGAAGGTCATTGAAAAAGGAAAAAAAAAAAAAAAGAAATCTGCTTACTAATTGTGTTGCTTAGTACCACAATTACTTTTACTCTAGCTTTAAATGTAACTTATTTTTAGAATTTTCAAGTTCATGAGCTGGGGCTGTTTACAATATTGCAGTGAATTTGCTGGGTTAGTTTGTAATGTAAAGGATCTTCACTTTTTATATCTAAAGAGAATGATTTTGATTTTGTGACCAGCTATAATCATGATTCATGTCAAGGTGATTTTTTTTAAATGCCCATGCTTATGGCAGCGTTCCAGTAATTTAGGACAACTCAGGTAGCTGATGGCCATGAATTAAGTGACTCTGGTAGTCCTTAGGGGAGAGTGGTAATACAGTTTACTGTGGGCTTTTGGGAAGCTGGTCAATCTACTTTGCAGATTGCCCAAGAGAATATTTTAGAATATAAAATTAATTGTCAAATTTGTTGGCCAGTTAAAAGAAGAAAAAAATGCTTGCAAAGTCAAGAGAATGATGAGGCATATTCTTTAATATCTTACTTTGTGCAGTTGTTTTCTTTAGGAATTAGGCTAGGATTCTTGGATGGAGTGAACCATCTCACTAGATAGTGGGACCTAACAATTTATCTTGAATATTTTAGCAAGCTCTTCTACTTTTTCTTTATTTATCCAAGAGCATAAGTACATAAATATCAACCTTAGTGGTTTTTTGTTGTTGTTAGTTTTTTCTTTCTTTCTTTCTTTCTTTCTTTCTTTCTTTCTTTCTTTCTTTCTTTCTTTCTTTTTTTTTGAGACAGGGTTTCTCTGTGTAACCCAGGCTATTCTTGAACTTGCTCTAGAACATGCTGGCCTCAAACTCAGAGATCAGCCTAAACTCATAGATCTGTTTACCCCTGTGTCCTGAGGGTTGGGGCTTAAGGCATGTGCTGCCACAACCCTGCCAACCTTAGCATTTTTAATACCAGTAATTTCAGATGTTCCAAAATTCAAATCTTTGTGGATTTGTAGTTTGTGCTCTTTTTCGTGGCAACTCCCAGACGGTTGGCTGAATATCTCCTTTCCGGCCACTGACTTCCAGAAACTCATCAAAGAGAATGATGAACACAAGTTGTACATTTTATAAGTGCACGGCCACAGCCACAGCAGTAGCTGCTGATGCTCTTGGTGAAGACTGGAAGGGTCATGTGGTCTGAATCAGTGATGGGAATGACAAACAAGGTTTTCCTGTGAAGCAAGGCGCTTTGACCCATGGCAGAGCCTGCTGTTGAGTAAGGGGCATTCTTGATATAGACCAAGGAGAACTGGAGAGAGGAAGTGCAAGTCTGTTCAAGGATGCATCATGGATGCCAATATGAATGTTCTCACCTTGGTTATTCCTGAACTGACAGATATTACTATTCCTCATTAGTTGGGACCTAAAAGAGCTAGCAGAATCCGAAAGTTTTTAGATGTCTCTAAAGAAGATGATATCTGCCAATATGTTGTAAGAAAACCTTTAAACAAAGAGGGTAAGAATCCCGGGACCAAAGTGCCCAAGAATCAGCGTCCTACAACACAAACACTGTTACATTGCTCTGAGAAAAAAAAAAAAAACAAAGAAAAAGGAGGCTGCAGAATATGCTAAACTTTTGACCAAGAGAATGAAGGAAACCAAAGAAAAGCGCCAGGAACAGATCCCCAAGAGACATAGGCTGTCCTCGCTGAGCGCTTCTACTTCTAAGTCTGAGCCCCGTCAAAAAATACGTCTTTAAGGGTAACAAATAAATAATCATACATTGAAAAAAAAAGATTTGTAGTTTGTCATAGTGAAGAGTATCCTCTGCTTCATCTTTCTAGTGCAAGTTTCAGACTTACATGTGCTGTATACACAAACGGTTATAAATACTTCTGTATCCACTAATGCCATATTTGTTCTAGTACAACAAAACTTATTGTTCTCTATTAAAGAATATAAACGTTAACCAAACAAGATAATGTTTAGTGACATATATTCATATGATAATCTTAATGGCAGCAGTTATCTTCCTTAAGAATTAAGTTAGTTTTCTTGAAGAGTGAACATTGACCTTAGGTTGGATTACTTTGTTGTTTAGGACCTTAAGATGTTCCAAATGTTGTAAGCCAGAAGCTTGATTCCCTGCATGCACTCCAGAATTACCACAGGAAATTTAAGATCGCACACCCCTAGTATTCACAAAAAAGGAACAAGTCTGTCCTTCACTTGGAATCCCCATGCTAGTGAGGCAGACAGGAGGCCTCTGGCTTTCTGACTGTCTAGTCTAGGCAAATTGGTAAGTTTCAGGTTCAGTGAGACACCTTGTCTTAAAAGTAAGGTGAAGAGAAGAAGACACATGCCATCGACCTGTGGCTCTGTACACAGGCATGCATCCTCACACCAGACATGTGCATAGACAAGCACATGCATACACACAGAAGCACTCTCTTTATTTTCATTAAAATTGTATTCTGTGTGTGTATGCACATGTGCTCATGTGCATGTGTGTGACCGTTCCTATTTCATGGCATGTGGGGGATTAAATTCTTTCCTTCCATCATGGAGCTTCCAGGGATTGAACTCAGGCCACAAGTCTTGGCCACAAGCTACTTTGTCCACTGAGCAATCTTGCTGGCTTAAACTGCATAGTTTTTAAAGTTGGTTTTCTTCAGTGGTTATTTTGTAATCTGTCCCTTGAATTTGCACAGTGATGGAGTATTAAGATAAAGCTAAGTATTGTGAGAGCCATTTGAGTAAATGTTTCTCTGAAGGATAAGAACACTCATTGGGAGAAAGTTAAGATAAAATAACGACAAGAATGCACAGTAGATACAGATGAGGAATGTTTGTTGTGGACAAAGGAGATGGGAAAAGGCATATTGAATAATGGATTCAAATATAACTGAAGTCATAGCTGCTTACATGCCAGGTTTGCTAATATTATGTAAGCAGTGGCCACAGACTCCACACTTATATGGTTCATACATCTAATGCAAATGTGAGTTGTCCAGGAATGTCAGAGGACACCTTGTTCCTCTAGTGGGCAGCTGTGATTAATGCTCAACTAGGGTCAGCTTTCAGTGTTTAAGAGAAGCTGGGAGTAGATTTTATATGTGGACTCCACAGTCAGTTCACTAAAGTCCCCTGAAAGCTGACAGCACACATGTACAGTTAGACTTGGACTACCTGCCACCAATCAATAATCTGTGTTTAGACCAATGGTTCTCCACACGTGGGCATCAGTATCCTTCACTATTGGAAGGATACATTGGCACTGTACCAGTGCCAGTTCCCTGGCTCTACGTCATGCCTACTGGATCAGAAGCTCTGGGTATAATGTCCAATCCTCTTCCAACAAGCTTGGGTGATTCTGATGTGTACTCAGATTTGAGACCTACTCTTTGGTAGTACGGAACTACACATTACGATTCTGTATGGAGATAGTAGTAAAGGCATTAGCTCAGCAAGTATAAGTTAGTGAGTGGACCTCTACATAAAAAAGTAAGGCATGGATTGCTCTCAGTGTATGGCTTTTATATCTTTGTCAGAATCAAAATAACAATTTTCTCCTGTCCTTTTGTTATATCACTCCATTAGGTATTGCAAATGAAGTTAACAAGAGTTCTGTTTTACAATTTGACCTTATTAAAAAACATGTCTGACATTTTATTTGCTGAATTCTTCAAACTTGATAAACATTTCACATGGCTTTTCGAAGTTTTGATTTTAAATCTTTCCAAAAGCATGAAGTGGGACACTTAACAGAAATAAGGAATGCCTATCAGGCTGGGTGCATGCTTGTCACAGTCAGCCTGAGCTTCATAATGTGTTTCTATGCAAGCCTGGGATATGTAGTGAGACACTGTCTCTGCAAACCAAACAGGAATGCAGGATGTTTATTCCTTATACAAAATACTTGCCATCAGAAGTGTTTTGGCGTGTTTTTTTTTTTCTTTCAGATTTTGGAATATTTTCACATAATGTAGGTAGGTAGGCCTCACTTGATGGTCAAATCCAAGTTTGGGCTTGTCTATTGGTTTTCATATACATGCTCATATCATTTAATGCTAATATTTGTCCCTTGAGGGGGGAAGTCCTCCTATGTATATATTTGTCTTATTGGTTGATAAATAAAGCATTGTTGGCCTATAGGGAAGCAAGATAGGTGGGAATAGGAGTCGAGGAGGATTCTGGGAAATATAGTAAAGAGGATAGAGTTGCTATGATCCCAGGAAGAGAGGACCCATGAGGATGGCGTCCTTGGTAAGACCTTATAGATATACATATAATAGTAGTCATGGGTTAATACTTAAGACAGAACTAGCCAATAGGAAGCCCTGGACATTGGTTGACAGCATTGTAACTAATAGAGTCTCTGTGTGTTATTTGGGATTGGCACAACATTGGGACCAGGCTAGTGAGAAGAGTTATCATAATAGTCCCTAGTCTTAGAATGTAGAAATAACTGTTATCCCAATTGCTGTCTTAAAGTTCTTATTCCTTCTCTGATATATTCATTTAATATCCTTAGTATTCTGTTAATTAGATAATTAATATCACAAAGGATTAAAAGTATACCTTAATTATGGAAAAACTTAATATATAATAAAGTGCTTAAAATGTACTATTGGAGGGACTGGAGAGATATCTCATCAGTGAAGAACTCATATTCCTCTCACAGAGGACCTGAGTTCAGTTCTCAGCACCTACACAGTGCTCACAACCATTTGTAACTCCAGTTCTAGGCCATTCTAATGCTGCTTCTGACCTGTTCATGCTCTTGCATACATGTGGTGCACATACATACACCCAGGCACATACACACACAAAATAAATATATTTTAAATGTACCTTTAGAATACTTAAAGTACAGACACAGACTGAGAGTTGGAGTAATCTTATTTAAAGGCATGGATTTTGAATTTAAAAGGGTGTTGATTCAATTTTGTTTACATATATTATTAATGAAAACCCATTTCTATTCACAGGGTAAACCAGACTTGAACACGACATTGCCAATTAGACAAACTGCATCAATTTTCAAGCAACCAGTCACCAAAGTCACAAATCACCCCAATAATAAAGTGAAGTCAGACCCACAACGAGTGAATGAACAGCCACGTCAGGTAAGGGACTGATTTGTCCTCCAATCATACTTTGCAGAAAATTCTGGTAGTTTTACCAGACATCATTCAAGTAAATTCTGGTTAAATTGGAATGCGTTTGAAAGAAAGTTTTATGTCCAGGGCTCTTATAGAGAATAACCGTAGTAATTTAAGATTTAATAAAAAAATACTTTAGAAGTTAATTAAAGTGAATCTAGCTAATATTATTGGCAACAGTTTATGATTTCTGTGTTATAATATTCCTCAAATTTGGTTGTGCTAATCTTAGTTTTTAAAGATTATGTTTCTAGGGATAGTATTTCCTAGAAAGATGAACTGTGCAGTTTGTGTTGTATTTGGTTTGAACACATTTTCTATTATTTGGAAATTGCTTCTCTCCCCCTCTGTTTCTGATTTCTAATTTCAAAGAATCTATCCCAAACCTTTAAAAAAAAAACACAAAAAAACCAGAATTAGATACAATTTGCCAAATGGGTATATTACTGTGAGTTCTGTTTTTGTATAAGTTCAATGCATTTTCGCTTTCAATATTTCTTCAACTTATATCCACCCACCAGAAACTTGTCTTAGACAAAGGTATTATCTGAAAGTCCTCCCTGCTGCTTAACAAGGTCATACAGCCAGGGACAGAGTGTGCCACACTCTCAGCTTTCCAGGTTGCTCCCCCTGGTGTGTTTGGAAGTTAGGTGCTCCAAGAATTTCAGTCACAGCTGGGGTGAGGAGGCGGAGGAGAAACACTGCGTTTTCTCTCTTTTCTTTATTTCCTCCCACTTAATGGGTTAGAAACACAGATTGGCCTATAATGAGTATCTTTTGCTTGAATATTTTCCACTCCATCTTTTCATTTGAATTTGTTTTTCACTAGTCCTTCAAGTGTTTCATCTCCAAACTTCACAAAGGACTGGGCCAAATCTCTCAGACAGTTGCTCTAGAAAAAAACTACAGAAAGAAATTCAGTTCCCACATCGTCTGTAGTGTTTTTTCCTCTTCAGGTGAGCCAGGAAAACAGAAGATGTTTGGAGCCACATTGGATCAGCATCTTGCTATAGATGTCTCAAGATTTGAAGTTCTAAACTTGCTTTACTGTTGGTCCCCAAGAGATTCAACAGGGGCCATGTAAGTGTATCACATCAAGTATAAAAGATGCGTACCTGCATGTGCCATTAGGCTCTGGTCAACACATAGGTTTTCTTTGGGCCATTCAGCTTTCTGTGTGAGGCTTTCCCCTCTGTTTTACTACCATGTGCAGGATAAACACAAAACCGCTGGTGGTTTTAGTGTGTTCAGTTCAGGTCAACAAGGAAGGGATTCTGCCATCTTGAACTCTGCCTGTCTTTACCAAGCTGTTCTCTGGTTGTATTCTTTTGCAAATAAGCTATGTAGTCTTGAATATATGTCCTTTGACTTTTTGATGACTTGAAAATTGTTTCCTTACAAAAGTTTTTATTATTTGAAAAATTTGAATGTTTATAGCTGATTAAAATGCTTCCCAAACCAAGAAGACAGATGTAGAGTATAACCTCTAATGACACCATTTATGATGGAAATTTGAGTTGTCTTATTGAGAACAGGTATTATTTAATAGATTTTATCTTTATCTTTTCTTTGCCAGATCACACAGTATAAACCTGTGAGCTTTATTTAAAGATAATTGATTGACAAATTTTGGTCATTCTAACAGTAATTTTATTGCTTACTGTACCTGAACTCAGTCACAGATTGTAAAAGCTGTTGTAGCTGTGCGGTGCTGGATGTGTACCTATCTATAGAGATCAGTAACCAAGAATTTTAAAGCTGAGCTGGGCGTTGGTGGTGTGCCTTTAATCCCAGCACTTGGGAGTCAGAGGCAGGCGGATTTCTGTGAGTTCCAGGCCAGCCTGGTCTACAGAGTGAGTTCCAGGACAGCCTCCAAAACAATACAGAGAAGCCCTGTCTCAAAAAAAAAAAAAAAAAAAAAAAAAAAAAGAAAAAAAGAATTTTAAAGCTGAAATGAACAGAATGATACCTCTCATTCTTTGTTTTGTTGAATATTTTTGAATTTTCTCTCTTTTATTATGGTTTATGGAATTATTCTCAAATGAAAAGTTTGTATCCCTTTTTCTCTGTCTCTTGCCAAAGAATTTTAGCATCATTCTAGCACAAATCTTTTGAAGGTTTGCCCTTCCTTTTAGCTAGTGTAGGCAGGTGGCATTATAATTATTTAGCAGGTTACTTCTGCAAACATGGCTGTTTTTCCTGTTATTCTCGTGTAACCTGACAATATCTTTAGGATTTTTTGATTATACCAAGACATTGCCTTCCAACCTAAGAGCTGAAATAAGATTTGAGTGCTGTGTCATCAATCTGAAGAGAATAAAGAGATCATTTTTATAATTGTGTCATCTTAAAATGTCTAGTTTAGATACAGGTGTTTAGTAAAATGATGCTGGTTTTAATTATATTTTGGTATCTATATATATCAGATGATAACTCAACCATTTCATTGTTGGGTAGATGGTTGACAAAGATATATGAAGACAAAAATAATTCTAATTTTGTTACTTATTATTATATCCAGTAAAATAGGTCAGCAATATAAATTTCCCATTACTCAATTTGGCAAAGTTATTTTTATTAGGCAGTGGATGAATTTGACGATGAGACTTATATTTCTAAGGTTCCCATAGATAACAGATATTCTTTAAATATATCATTCTCTTTTACTAAGGTGAGTGTTATGAGCATTGCATTTTAGGCCTAGAATTAAAATAAAGTTTCTGTATTTTTTTTTTTTTTTTGGTTTTTCGAGACAGGGTTTCTCTGTATTGTTTTGGAGGCTGTTGGTCCAGCCCAGCCTCGAACTCACAGAGATCCGCCTGCCTCTGCCTCCTAAGTGCTGGGATTAAAGGCGTGCACCACCACTGCCCAGCTCTAAGTTTCTGTATTTTAATTTAAGCTTCACCTCAGTAGGTTTGACATGCTAGATGAGAAAAAGACAAATTGGCAGTCCTGTATTTACAGAACAAGCATTTTATAGGTTATTTATATAGGTTATTATGTAATTGTCCAATATGAATTCTGTAAAGTATAAACTATGAATTTATATGGATTGACTCTTTAAAATGCGTTATCTTTAAATGTTCAAACTAGCATATTTAAAAATACATTAAAACAGAATTTATTAAACCAGCAGGATATTTGTGTATACGTTAAGACTGTAAAGTAGAAATGGAATGTATTGACTCTGGTTACAGCAGGGTAAGTAGCAGTCATTTTCATATGTAGCAGCAGCATGTTTGTCATTTCATTAGATGGAAAGCATGGAGGGAAGTCTTCTGTCAGATTGTGACTCCCAGTGGAGTCATTGCAAATCCTTATTTAGATATGTAAGACACATTCAAGTTTTTAAAAAATCTAATTGCATTGCAATTTTATTAAAGATGTCTTTCCTATTGACTTCTTTGAATATGTGTGTAGCTCACTGTTTTGAGTCTTTTTCTTTAATACTCCCATCTTTGATGCTTTCTGGTCTCTTGTGTGTTCCTTTTATCTTCAAGCTGAAGCAATTTCAGTTTTGAGTTTTCATTTCCTTTTGAAATAATTGTGAAACTAACAGGGCCAATACACCTTCAGTACTATTGAGAGTCTCTGGACATTGTTTTTCTTGAAGAGTAATCATGTTTTTCTGTAGGATTAGTATTTGAAGCAAGTGAAGATGTGTGCTTGAATATACTACTTGATCTATTTTGTCTTGTTTTTCTAGTCCTTCTTCAAAGTATATTTAACTTTCCTTTACTCCCTCCTGGAAGCCAGCCAGCCTTTTCTTTTAGAATGAGTTGCTTAAATTTTATTAGAGGAAACTTCCAAGATGAAAGAAAAAAATTAAAACCAAGTACACTTGAAGTTGTATGTGAAACGTCTATCAGTTAATTCAGCGTTGAGATGTTATAATCCAGAAAATGACTATTCATTGCAGGCATTCTAGCATTCTTATCCTCTGTAGCCTCAACAGTTACTTCTAGTATGGTCTCATCATAATGAGAAACATCCCCTGAGAGGATATTATACTCCTTTTATCTTCTCTAGACAGAAAAATTGGCTGCGTAGGCAGAGAACATAGAAGACATGTTCTGTGTGAGTTTCAAGTGTTACTCTAAGGAATTCTGGGAAGATGTCTTGTAAAGAGTACTAGGTAAATAGTGTAGACTGGTGCTATGGCTGATCAAGAAGGCAGGGCTACTGTAGCTAGGAAATGTGGGGTGAGCTTTGGAAGAGCTAGAGGACTGAAGACTTCGTAGGAGAGCCGGGGGAGCAAGGGCTCTGCCCTGGAGAGAGCAGTGTGTACAGCTGCTCCTCAGCAATAGGCACAGACCAAGTAGAAAATCAGTTAGAAATGAGGGTTTTAGTTGGAACTCATAGAAGCTGAAAGTAGTTCATGTTGTAGAGGATTCCTTAATGCTGACCTTTATAAATTTAAACTATGTTATTTATTATTTGTTTTCTTAATAAGAGAAAGAAGTGTGGAGTAGACACAGAAAGAAATTACTCAATTTCTTTTTCCTAATGTAATCAAAAATTTTTAACCACTTAATACTTTCTTTTAGTACTTTAATGCATTTTCAGAAGCATAATGGTATTATATATTTGTGCACTTTAAAAGTCTCATGTAACACTACACACATTTTTGTGTTTTATCTGATATGTTCCTGTAATTTGTAAGTTAACTATACTGGGTGTTGTGCTAACAGTTGTAAATTACTCTTGCTTATGATTTCCCTGTCTACTCCCCAGTTTAAGGTAGTGTCCAGAGAGTGTACATATTAAACCTCTTCCTATATGTTAAAATTGTCTCCTGGGCTAAATTCTCAGAAATGAAGTTAGCCTGTATTTATGATTTTGATACATTCTATCAAATTTATCTCCACTGAGTTGTAACAAATTAAAAGACTATCCACCATTAAGTTAAGCACCTCTGTTTCATTTTGTCTTTTGACATATTACTTATAAAGGTGCTTGCTTCA